TCAAGCATGAACTTTAAATTTCAGTAAGTTGAATAGTTAATAATGTTTGCAAATACTATATATCACCTTTTTTATTTTCAGTACTTGCTCATCAATTCATTCCAGCTGAGAAAGGCCAAGTTTTCCAGTATCAGTATCAATCAATCAGTTTCATTTGGCAGTAATATGTGAAGAATATTGTGTGTGTAAAAATATATTGCTTTGAGTGATTATGAATCATCGGTCTCACTGTGTACTTCTCTTTAATTAGTTTAATTTGTCATCTGTCAATTGTTTTTTTTTGTTAAATAATTCAGAATCAAGACAAAAACTGAAGAGGCAGAAAGAAGACAAACCCTTGAATCATTGATGATAATGGCGTGCCTATTAAGTCATTCTACCTTATTCATTTATTGTTTTTTTTTTTCAATATATATACTACTTCCGTGAAGGCAACAAATTAATGTGTGATGACTTGAGGATATAATAAATTTATAGAAATTTATGTATGTAAAGCTTCAATATTTGACTTCTGTATGTAGATAAAACCTTTTCACGTTTTTTTTTTGACTGAAAAAAAACCTTTTCAAGTTAACAGCAAGCTGCCCCTGACAGGCTGGGGTAATTTTTTTCTAGTATACTTTTAATATTTTACTATTTTTTATAAATAGATATAGAAAAAAAGTCAATTATAAAAATTTAGAAAGTTAGAACAAGTATAAGGCTTACTGGATTAGTCCTAGTCATGATCATTAAGTTCAGTTTTGCAAAACCTATCACAATATAGAAATAGGGCACTTGGACCAAAGTAACAACTTAGCTTATAACTTACTAAGTCAATAAAATTAAATTTACTATTGATGTGAAGATCTTATTGGTAGGCGATTGATAAATAGTTTTATAAGTATTTTAGAATTTGAAGACAGCTCACCTATACTTGTATGTATGTCTATACACACACCACACTCCCTCTATTCTAATTTGTAACACACTTTTTAGAAGTAATTTTTAATTTAAAATGTAGGACACCTTGTAATATTTAAATTACCTTTTTTTTAATTTTATTTTAATTGTTTAATCTAAAGGTATTTAATATAGTTGTATTATTATTAAAGTCAAAAGTAAAAAAAAAATGCATCTTATGTTTTTATGACATTCAGTGGTTGACTCTTTCTCTGGTGCCAATTTCAACATGAATGGATATATCACACGCTCACATTATGTATAAAATCACAAAAATTCAATAAAAGAAAAACTTAGATTACTAGCTAGTTTTATATATTTAAGATCCTTGCTTCTAATTAAATAAAGGCCTTTGAGTTTTTTATGTATTATATATTGTATATAAACTCTTTTATAAATATCATTAATATTTAAAATTTACTTATTTTGATTTAATTGGATAAAAGTATATATTAATATATATTATTAACTATCCAAGTTTTCAAAAAGTAACACATTTATATAAAATGATAACAAATTAGCAATTATGTATTGATAGATGATTGTACAAGGGGAAAATTAATTAACAGAAATTATCAGCTAGAATTTCAATAAAATGCACTATGGAAGTGGGGCAAAACAATATTAGTTATGCTTGGATGGTATTAAGGAAGATTTATTAACAACTGAACTAAACTGTAAGTAACAACACAACCAGTGGTTAATACAGTTTTATTCATTGTCAATAAACCTTACAAAATAATTTCTCTCTGTGTAGGACTTGATTGTATTCTCTCTAAAAAACATTAACAATATTTGGATAGCTAAACAATTCTGTTATTAAATGAAGATATTAGGAATATTAGTTTAAATGTGTCAACAACCATAAATGTAAAATATGATTAATTTATTAGAAATTTTGTAATAAAATAAGATTTATTTCAATCTTCAAACAATATTTGATGTCTAACTCATTCAAAATCCTAAATTATGATCGAGGACATTAAATTAAATTTAAATAACATAGTATGTATAATTCTAACTATTTTCAGTTCAGGTGGTCTTTTTATTATCACATATATAACTACGAGAAATAAAATCCAAAGTGCAGATCAACAACTTATCCACATTTATCTATACTATATGAGTATTTATATTGATTATATATTGATATATCCCTTTGCAATAATTAATCTAGACAATAATTAAAGAAATCAAATTTAAGAGCACCATATCTCTAGTTCAAGTGGTTATACCTATTGCGATTATATTTTCATATTGTATTTTCCGATTTTATATTTGTTATTAGATTATTAGATATTTGATAGATATTAGATTACTAGATTAGATTTTCTTCTTCCCTTCTACATCAAAATTTAAAATCGTTTGGCTATATTGCTGTGTCTTTCTTGGACTTTCTCTGTTCTGACGTTTATAAATCTAAATGAACAGCATGCTTGCCTCTGTCTTCGTATCACACCATTGAGAGATCTCAGCGAATTGAGGAACAACGTCTTTGGCCGCTTTCAATATATACAAGGTACGAAAACCAACGAGCCAACTTGTGGTTACAACAAGTAAATTAGTGGCTGTTTGATCGTGTTTTCTATTATTTTTTTAAAAGTTGTTTTTGTAGTACAATTTTCATAACTGCTTCAAAAGAATTAGAACACGAAACAAGAATATATCTGATTATGTTAATATAACAGTTTTAGAGTTAAGAAAATCTGGTCACAAGGGTAGTCACTGTTAATTAATAGCAGTAACTTATAATAGTGACTGGTCATAACTAACAATAGTTTCTAATAGTCAAATATAGTCTGTTGTTTAAAAATGAAAATGTGATGAGAATAATTTTTTATTACTTATATATATTCTTAATAGATAATTTTCAAGGCACAGTCCATTCATTAAATATAGATACCTTTCTCAACGAGAATTTGAATCATGTGAGGAACTATATCTCCTTCCACTTGACTTAATAATTTAAGAATAGTTTTTCTTTTGGCCAAATGTAAGAATAGCTTTGGAAACATATTAAAATTCAAAACACTTGTCTAAACAAGTTTTTTTTATTCTTTTATTCTTAAAAACATAAAACTGTTTTTTTTAATCAAACAAGCTACATATTTACAGTTTTTTATGTTTGATTTTTATTTTTTATTTTTGTGCAGCCGGTGGAGATTATATATACACACACTATATATAGACATTGAAGCTATGTCTTACCATTTTCCTCTAGAGATATGGGAGAAAATCTTCTATAAATCATCTGTCAAATCACTAGTCAAATGCATTTGTGTCTGCAAAGCTTGGAAATCTCTCATAACCGATCAGTACTTCATAGACTCTCATCTTAAAAATAGCATTGCAAAATCCAACAATGGCAATCACTCTCTCTTTTTTTCACTTTTATTACTTAGAAAAGTCAAGTGACAGGTTTTTTCACTCAATATTAAATTCAGATAATCACTTTTCAACTTTCAAATCCCCTCTGAGTCATGTCATGGACTTGCTCGTGGTTGGCACCAGCAATGGACTAGTATGTTGCGTCGACGGTTCCATAGTATTTGACCCCACTATCATAATCATGAACCCGTCTATTCGAAGATATAATGTGCTTCCGAAACCCAATAATGTCACTTCAACTAGGCTTAAACCGCGTTTCATGGAGAAAAATAGTTTGCTAGGGTTTGGGTTTGACCCCAAGAACAATGATTTTAAGGTTGTCGAACTTGTTTACAAGGCACAAGCTTATCCTGATCCACAAGTTGGTATCTTCTCTCTTGCTTCCAATGAATGGAGAAACATATCGCACGATAAAGCTCTTTCTCTCATTGTTTTCCATTTTCATCCATGGAATGGGATTTAGACGCGAGCAAGTTTGTGTCAAAGGTTACTGCATTGGCTGGTTCGTGCTTCCTACAACAATCGATATTGTCGGTATTTTATGCTAACGTTTGATTTGCTTGAAGAGATATTTGGAAAATTGATGTTACCAAGAGATGAGACATCAAAACCATCTTTTTTTGTATGGAAGCAATGATTCACTTGTTGTGGTTTATGCGACATATTCAGAGTCATTTAGAATATGGGTGATGACAGAATGTGGAGATGCAGATTCGTGGAATCTTAGGTATTGTTTTTCTGCAAACATTATGGAGGCATATCAAGAGTGTTGACTCTCAAGTGTAGTGGGGAAGTAGTTCTACAGAGAAACAATGGTGAGATAGTTTTTGTTAGACCCTACGAAACATGGTAAGTCAGTTGGACATGAGAGAGTTGTTAGTGACTTTTTGGACATGACATTTGTGGACATCATGTTTTGATTATGATAAACACAAGAAAAGCAATAATGTAGTCGTTTTTTTTTTAAAAAAGCAAAAATGTAAGACAGTGATGCTATAGGTCTTTAGACTCTGTCAATAGCAAATATTTTATAATCTGTCTATTTTTTTAGTTTTAATTGTATGTTTAGTATCTGTTTTCATTTCTTTTATACTTATATAAATATAGTTATCATCAACTTCATTCTCTTTAAGATTTTCATATTTGCAAGCTTATGTTTTTTATTCCATCACCAATTGGGGTTTGGGCTCTGGTTATTATAAACAATAGCCTCACGGCCGCGGGTAACTTGGAAATTCCTTTGGTTTTTTGCTTAACGTGATTGTATATTGAGAACTCAAACTTATTTATAACTACAATTTATAACTACACAAGAACACTTATTGCATCCAACTTGGGAACAGTGAGCGTGGGTGAATACAAATTAGTTAATTGTAACATAAAGGAATTTTTTAATGGTAAGTTTTTTCAATTTCTTGAATTGGAAAAGGTTAAATTGTGTCATATATTTGCATTAATTAACAACTCTTTTCTCAAATCATGATTAACTAAGATGAAGTATTTGCTATTGTTGCTTCGTCTCTCTTCTTCCCGTCATTCTTTCGTTAGTGTTGCATACCAAATTGGTTATGATGACTATACTTTTTTTTGAAACAAAGTCAAATTATATTAAAATATAAGAAAACGATCACAAAAAATTAAGCTCCCAAGAAACAACTTCTTAGGGCCCAAACGGAGAGAAACGCATCAGAAAAAGACGCAGACTTGACAAAACAAGTTACAACATACCAAATTCAAAAAAACAGGATACAGAAATATAAACAAAGAAAAAAAAACACACACACAAAGCCCAAGCCAAGCCTTTTCAGTTCATGTAGACAACACTCAAAGAATCCAGCTCCATGTACAATGAATCGATAACATGTTACCGTAATTATCAAATAATCTGCCATAGTGGCATAAGATTTTAAAAACTCATCCTCATGGATCACTTAGAAAAGGGACTTTTCTCAGGAAGACACAAACATCAACAGGACGAAGGAAACAAAGAATCCAACCAGAAGATCCTATTCTGGCCGTAGCAGCTGAATATTCTGAACTTGCAGCAAAAGGTGAAAAATTACATGATGAATATCTAATATACTTAATATATTAATTAGATGGCAATCTAATATACTTAATTATTGAACTAAAATATACCAATCTCCTTCTCTCTTTGTTGAAATTACATGATACTTTTTTAATTTTAAAAAAGAATCGACAGTGAAATTTTTGACCTTCAAATTTACTTCAATTATTGATTTGGTCTTTAAATCGAGTCCTTAAAATTTCATAATCATACACAATTAGCTCTTATGAAATTATTTTCCCTTCAAATAAAAAACAATTGTGTATTTTAGTTCAACTTTAAAAGTTTAATCCAATTTCAATTAAAATTTAGGACTAAAAGTTTTCATTTTCCCTTTTTAAAATTTATCTTTTAGTCCAATTTTATACCTAAACTTTTTTTTTTTTAAATCCTTGCAACTTGTTAGCCGGGTCATCCAATACCTGACCTAGATCTGAATTCAAGCCCGCCTTTTGAAATACTCTACTTTTTCTTTCTTGTCGATTATAAAAATAAGAGTTCCTTAGTTGTATTGTACGTTCAATCAATATATATATACACATATATAATTTCTTATCCTCTCATTCTAATTTTGTCCCTTTTTTCTCAGTTTCTATTATTTATAATATGTTATTGGCAACACGGTGATACGATTACTTTATTCCTCTCTCATATAATTGCATGCTATCCAGTATCTTTAAATTAACTATTGAAAATAGATCAAAGATGTGCCACATATAGGATTATGGGGCACCATTTAATAAAATGAATCTGAAGATATTCACATATATCATCACAATACAAAGTAGCTAGACAGTAAAAATGCTACATTTAAAATAATATATTATTCTTTACTTAAGTTATTTTAACACAGAAAACGTATGTAGCTCTTGGTTTGTTATATCAATATACCTGCTAAAGGGCAAGACTTATGTACTTGACATTATATACTAAATGTACTTGTATATAATCATCAATTCAAAATAAGTAAATTTTAATGTGTTGATTATTAATAACAAAAATAATTAAAAGATACACATGTAAATAATTTATATACACATATGTTAATTTAATTAGAAACAAGTATATAAGTTTTTCCCTTTGCAGAATCAATACGTTAGTTGTTTAATTTTAAATTTTCCTAATTGAATTAAGAAGTCTTAATTTATATATTCATATGAGATTATGATATAAAACAAATCCATCATGATTCTGTTTCTTGTATATCTTTCCTTCCCTTTAATGTTCTCTTCAAGCGTTAGCACTTAGCATGCTGCTTACATATTCGGGAATAAAAAGAAGTGTTCATATCCTTGTGTACATTTCTATCATTAGGATGGTAATTATATTTTAATTTTATTTTCCTTCTCATGATTCTCTTCAATTTTCCTTTCTTTATTGCACTAAATTATACTTAATTTTTTGGTCCATGAACTAAACTGTTGCTCATTTATTTATTGAATGCTAAAGAATATTATTTTTTATAAATTATAAATTTATTCTTATAAGTGTTACCTGATTTCTATTTTTATCTTATCACAGCACAAACATATCAAGCCTAGTCAAACTTTAACCCACAACATTGGAAAAAAATTACTTATCCTAGGCTTTAGATACTAGGATACACCTAGATGCAAATGGTCTAGGCGAGACCATTGAAGAAGCAAATAAAATATCAATCAAAATAAGACAAAAGCAATGATTTTCATACGCTCGCTGCCGCTACGGTTAAAAACTGAATACCTTAATTACAATAAATGACCTACTTGTTCTTTGAAATAGCTAAAAGGAAAAGTATGATCATTAAAAAAAATTATTTTTTTTTAAGAGCTCACTATGAACGGATACATCTGTGCTTATAGGATTTTAAACGTTTGGTTGCTCAGTCATAATTTTTAAATCTTATAAACACATATGAATTCATTCATAAGGAGCTTTTAAAAATTAAATAATTTTTTTTTTTTTACGTTCATACCTTTTCTTTACACACCATTTCAAAGAATAATCGTGTCTTTTTCTCTAACATATTCAACCTTCAACCTTACTGAGACATGGTGACCTTGAAAAATCAGTTCTTTTGCCTTAACTTGATTGGTTGCTTAATTTGTTTATTTAATGGTCTCGCTAACATATAGCAATATTAAATTTTTGGTTATATTTATTATTTTTATAGTTAGGGTTGTTATAACTTTTATTTTTTTATTTTTTTGGCAAATATACTGGATAATATTTCAATCATCATAAATCTGATGATATACATGATAAGTATTTATAGTTTGCCAAAATAACTATAGGGCCCATTTGATTTTGTTACATTCCATTTATCAAAAGTCCTTCCTCACTTTTGAGATGCTAGATATTGTTTGGATAATTATAATAAGTGTAAATAAACTTTTAGACTTTGAAAAAGATAATGGATGTGGATTTGATAAAGTGGGAGCTTTTGAAAAGAACTTTGAAAAAGACATTGAAACTTACTTTATCATCCACCATGCTACTTTTCGATACAATGCAAACCATAGGTCTCTTCATCCCAAAACTTCTCAATAATTTTGTCTTCATATTTTGTGATGGTGGGATCCATAACTTTAGGCATTTTGAAGATAAAAATATAATTAATACTCATGGCTTTTGATAAAAAGATAAATAGAATTTACGATTCTATTAAAGATTAGATTGTATATTATAAATCAAACTGTTAATTATGTAATCATTTAATATTAATGAATGTTGAACTATTTATTATATAATTTTTTTACACTTTATATTTTTTATTCTTATTATTTAACATAATAAATTTTATGTTATTTTAAATTTTTTCCCATTGTTTAAACATTTTTAATAAATTACATTTGTATAACAAAAAATTTCAAAGTAAATCAATATCCTTTTCAGTTATTGTATATTCTAAAGTACATTTTAAAAATATAAATCATCATTAATTTAAATAACTTTTAATTTATGAAATTGACTTTAAAAAAAAAAGTATCCAAATATAAACTTTATTACAATAACTAATTTTTATTAAATTAATTTTTATTAAATTAATTTTTGATAAAGTAAAAATCAAACAAATCGGCATAGATAACTACAAGCCCAACACAAAATAGAAAGTAACGTGATAATAAGTGACATAAGACTTCACTATAGCTTCCCTCCTCAAACGACGGGATCTTCCGTTCCTCCTCCCTTTCGTCTTCCCGGCAATCTTCACATTCCTTGCCCACATACCCAACCTTTTGACATTTTCTTGCAAAAGGTGGATCAAAAGATGGCTCTTGAGATTTACTTGAAGAAGATGGCTCTACTCCATCATTAATGCCTTGTGAGGACCAATAACAGTCTGTGAATGATCTAGGGAAGAGAACCCATAACATGTAAGGCCCTGGCTGCACATCATCCAAATACCAAGGCCT